ATGTTCTGACCCCCCACTTCATTATTTTTAATTCTATCCTGGCACATTTGAAGAGGCGTAAGAGTGGGACCCGTGTTACAGAAACCTGTAGTTTGGGAGTATTTTATCTGCTCCGATTGTTGTCTCCAGTTTGCAATCTTTCCACCACAAAGTCTAGGATTCACGAGGCAAAAGGAAAACCCACAGAGCTCTCCATATAGTTCCTGAGGCCCCAGACCTTACTAGGTCTGCCTTCCTCTTTTTCCCCCTCTCAGGATCTCATGTGGCTTTTATATGTAATGTCCAAGGGTTTTAGCTTTACTGAATGGGAGGAGTAGAGACAAGTGGGATATGTTATCTGCCTCCAGAAACAAGTTTATCAGATTGTCTTTTGAAGTCCTCTTCATTATCCAATAACATCATTTCCATTTTCTCTTGTTGAATTGCCTTAATTTTGTTAGATCTTGATTCTGTCACCTTGCTTGTGGTCCTGGTGTTTTTCTACCATCATTTTGTTGACTTTATGAATATCTGCATTTTATAAGCTGTGCAGTTGATTTCACATTTGGCACCATTCTCCACTGCTATCAGGAAGAAGTTGGTGACATAGGTATTGATATGGTGACTGCTGCCACTAGTAAGTGAACACGGGTGGATAGGGGTTAATTTTAAAAGTGGTCTTCAGTGACTGTCTGAGTGTTGCAACAGCTTTTATGTCCACCTGTAAAATTTCTTGTCAATTTTTTGGGGCCTTAGAGAGTAACATTCAAATAATAGTGTCTTATATTATATTCCACCCATTACTACAGTTTCCTTTATCTTCTTGCCCTTGTAGTAGAAAGTCTGCTCAAATCCTGACATTTTCAGCGCTATTTGTATACCCTGGTATTACCATGATGTGATAATTCTGACTTAGCTACATATGTGCTTCTCCTACTTAAAGGTTATTTCAAAGTGTAAGAAACTGGTGAAAACTTAGAAAATAAAGCCAAGATCACAAGGCACTCACATATCCTTCCTTGGACTTGTGTCCCTAAATAGAATTACTGGGTCAAAGGACAACTTTTGTTATCTCTTGCTAAATTTCTCTCTAAAAATGTTGTGAAGAAGACCTGGATTTTATGTTGAGGTTATAATTGAGGAAAGGCATCCTAAAGTCAAAGAGAATTATCAACAGAGTAACTTTTAAAGACTGGTGTTCGTCTTGACCATATCACAGTTTTCAGGCATTAGCATTTTCTCCCAACATCTTACTAAAATTGCATGATGTAATTATCATAGGTTTTGTGTGATCATCATGTATAGAATTATTGACTTGGCCTCTATATCATAATAGGGGCCACATGGGCGACTTACTGGCAGTAGCCATAAAACATATACCTGAAAGTAAATGAATTTGGCACGTCGTCTACATCCACTTTAATCAACAGGGTCAGGGAGGTTGTAGGCAGGTAGAGGGTGAACATGTTCCTTGATACTGAAATACTGTGCCTCCTATGTATCTTTCTGCAAGACAGTAAAGAAGGAATGAAGTATTGACTGCTTTCCACTAGAAATATTAGCTTGGAGAATCACACAATGACTGGTCTCTCTCTTCCATTCAAAGCTGCCCTGGAGTTTAATAAAGACATAATTACACAAGATGAATTAGAGCAAAATCAGTCTTCTATCAATGAGCAAAGTAAGTGGAAAAAAAATAAGTTGACATAGTATTAAAATTTCCCCCACAGTCTTTTCTATTCTGAGCTCAAGTGTGTGACATGGGGTTTGGTGCTGTTAGATGAACTACCTGAAATACAGTTGTCTAAAATCAATTCAAATAGTAGAATATTTGGAAAACCTGGGTAAGGTCAGAACTGAGGGGCCATAAGAGCTTCCCAATGGAGCAGACTTGCAGTGTCCCCAAGTTTTCACCCCATACTAGATGAACAGTTGGTGGACCAGCGTTGAAAGTATTAAAGGCTGGGTCCTCGATGACCTTTCATGGCTCTATGTCCTTATCCTATATAATATTTATTACCTTATAGATTGCACTTTGTTTATGTGATTCTTTGATTAATGTCTCTTTCTCCATTTGACTGTAAATGTCATAGACTGTATTTTTATAATGCTCACAGTTATATCCCCAATGCCTAGCACAGCACTAGGAACAATAAATATTTGTTGAATGATTTAATAAATGATAGACCAGTTTTCCCCCTGTGCTCTGTGCATGGCTCACCAGCTCCATTGTGGGAAGCCAGCAAACCTGAGTGAGGGTTGGCCCAGAGTCAGTTCTGGGAAATTAGAATGGAGTTCTTATATTTTTCTATCAGTGGAGAACAGAAAGATGACCAAATTAGGGATTGTCAGGGGTGGGGGGATGCAGAATTCAGCACTGGGGAGAGATGGTATTGTTTGAAAATGAAGATGAAAAATGGAGGATGAAAATGAGTTTCTAAGATTATTTTTTGAGGAAATGATTTTGGTTTTAGAGAAGAAAAGAAAAAAAATACCCTTTTCTATAAGAGGATTTGAACTTGCTCATTTGCTTTCTCCCTGTGAATTTGATGCAGGACCCGCAGTTTTCTTTACAATGCTGCTCATTTGTGGCTTGGAATCTAAAGGTGTACTTTTTCTTGGCTAACTTTTAAAATTTCTACATTTTTTTTAACCTGATGAGTGCAAGTTTGTTTCAACAGAAAAATAATCAGGTGAATTTCTTATCATGGAATAAATTTGGAAAACCAAAGGGACACCTATTCATTCTACGGTTTCCCTTGGCCGGGGCCCACTATTGCCTATTACCAGAGGTACTCAGGTCAGGGACACGTGGTATGCTCTGAAAGAGGCACCTTTCCTCAAATAACTGTTTCTTTTATCCCAGAAGGTTTTTGCAACTTGGGCTAGATAATGAGATTAGGAGAAATTGTAAGTAAAGTGTAAGGTACTTAACAAGTACCCACTTTTTTATGTGGAATTATATAGCTAAAAATTATGACCTAAAGAATACAATAAAAAGCATGTTTTTGTTTAAATCATTTTCATCTATGGAAAAGAACTAAAGAAATACACTTCATGAACTCTGAAGATGAGACAATGTTAATACTAATCAACACAACTTTTTTCTAATTCAGAATGAGGAAAGCAGCAGTAGAAAGGCCTCGTAATATCAGTTATATATGAACTTGGTACCTTCTCTTTTATAGCTGATGAGACTGAAATATGAATTTTAGTGCACAATTATGAAACAATACCCAATTAGCAAGAATGCAAACAGGAACTGAGTGCACCAGGCAGAGAATTTCAACCAGCCTGATAAACTATGTGCAGAGAATAAACAGAAACCCTGAGCACTGTGCGGAAGGCACAGGTAGAGGGAGATCACCCTGTGCAGACAGGAGTCTGCTTAGGTTGGCTCTCCAGTGAATAAGACTCTCTGTAGAGACAGTTATGAATGGAAGTGGGTTTCCTTCCACTTGCACATTTAAATAAAGGGGAGATCAGCATACAATGAAGACAGAAGTGTAAAATCCTAGAATAAAAGCATGCCTATTAAAATTAAAGTCACACTAAATGTAAACAGTCGTATTGTGCTTCTTAAAATAAAAGCTGAAAAATGTTATGTATGTGGATTTTCATAGAGTATCATTAATATTATTAATTATCATAGATTTCTGTCTCAGGTTTGGAGATGTGAATGATAGAAATGGCCCTAAATTGAAAAAAATATACAGAGGGAGAGGGTCAACACCCAGATTTGGTGTTATTTATAAGATTTTCACCACTCACAGCATGGAAGTGGATTTTTTTTTCACTTTATATGTCATCAAATACAGGGGGCTTCATGATTCCATTCAATTTTCATCAAAACCTTTAAATATCTTTTCATGAAGCTGAATAGTAAAGCACACAACAAAACAGGGCATTGAATGTGCAGAAATATGTTGCTAGGTTAGCTATTGATGGAGACTGCTTGACACCACAGAAAAAGCTCAGGGTCAGGGAATATAGAGGTGAATCCAGGATCTGCCCCTGGCCCAAGTGTGACCTGATATACCTCATTCAACCTCTCTTTGTAGATTGGTGATAACAACAGTTTCTGGGCTACTATGAGATTTAAACGAGATAAAGTATATGAAGGATCTGGCCAAGTGCCTACTCAGCAGCCCAAGTTTCCAATGCATGCCTGTTTCTTTTGCTTCCCATCAACCTGTGGATTCATCCCTCAGATACACATATTCATTTTTCACAGGGGAAGCCTACTGGTGGTCTTAAATTTTGTTAGCCAAGATAAGTTATTTGATGCCATTTGAAAATAAAAGGACCATTCTTCCTCCTTTAGATGCTGATTTCAGTAACATGTCACATAGATTTATTAAAAATAAAAACTGCTTGGCATATATTGTCACACAAGAGGCACAGTGATGCTTTGAGAAATGTAAGGGGATTAATACCCAGATTTAACAGATAACAAAACAGGCTCACAGAGTTAACAGACTTTCCACCAATGAACCTGTAGTCATTGTAATGCTATGACTGGCTTCCAGCTCTTTCAGCCCTCACTTATATTTATTAGAAGGTTAAAGTTTTATCACACACACACACACTCACACATACTGCATGTGGATTGGATTTAGGTTTTACCACCATCTAAATGGATGACCTTCAATTAAATTCTCTAGCCCTCCGTTTTCTTAAAGATATAAAAATGAGTGAAAGATGCCCAAGAAAATGCTTGGTAGAATAACAGCCATTATGATAAGTACGATGCTTATTTATCTACGTGGTGCTTCTTAGATGACAATGTCAAAATGCCTAAAAATCTTTGAAATGAAAACTGAGTAGTCTGTCATAAGATTGACATTTTTTTTTTTTTTTACTTGTTGTTTTCAAATTTATCCCAAAATCCTGAAATACGCCTAAGATCTGTTTCCATATACGGTGGCAAATTAGACATTTGCTTTTTTGTGTAACAATGCATTTAACTTTATAGAACATTACACACATTTTAATCCCTGTCTCTGTCGCTGTCCCTCTAGGAACTAACTTCACCCTTGCAGAACTGGGGATCTGTGAGCCCTCCCCGCACCGAAGTGGCTACTGTTCCGACATGGGGATCCTTCACCAGGGCTACTCCCTGAGCACGGGGTCTGACGCCGACTCTGACACCGAGGGAGGGATGTCTCCCGAACATGCCATCAGATTGTGGGGGAGAGGGATAAAATCCAGGCGCAGTTCCGGCCTGTCCAGTCGTGAAAACTCAGCCCTTACTCTCACTGATTCAGACAACGAAAATAAGTCAGATGATGAGAACGGTAGGTCCACTTCGTAAATACCTTTGAATGTTCCATGCACTGCAGGACGTGGGGCTTGGGATGTATTTTTGTCTTCTAATAAAGAGGCATAACAAAACCATTCATTTTCATTTAAATCGACCTTGTCTTACCCAGTCTGAGCTGGGGGAAATAAGCCAGCAGCCCTCAAGCACACAAGAAATGAGAAGAGAATTAGAAAATCACATTTTGATGATAACATGATATTCAGGTATAGTCAGTGGGTCTTATTAGCAAGTAAATTACATGGCAAAAGAGGCAGCTTGATAAACTATGACCTGTACCTGGAGAATGTCCTCTCTCTACCAGTTTCTAGGTCTTCCTATTGATTTCCCTTTCCCAGAAAATGGCAACCTGGGTTATTTTTTTCATGAAGATCTCTTCAGAATCCTACCTTATCTGAGACTTTCATTTCCAGGCAGCAATGCCTCATATCCGTATTGAAGATCAAACTTAGAACTCATGCTCTGGAGTTTAATAATGACAAATAGGAAGAGGCTTGTCTTCAGAAAACTCTTTGCCGCACTTACTTTTCCCCTTGGTACCTATGTAGGTTAATGGCTTCCCACGTCTTCTATCACAAATCGCTGTTGCCTGTCCATCAGCTTTGTAGGTGGGTTTTAATGAAACTTTGAAAATTAAATTCTTCTGATCATTAAGCAGTAAATATAGGGAAGCCTAAGCAAGTCATTAAAGAGATAAGGTGCTTATTTATAGATTTCCTAGCAACTCAGAATTGTGTTTAGTCAAATACATTTTTTAAAAAGATAAATTGCATTAGGTACAGCTGATTTATGAAGAAAACATCGAATGCTGTGCAGTTTGTTATGAATAGACTGCGTGTTTGTGAAAAGAATTACCATTAAAATGTTTACAAATAGATCAGTTAAGAATGTTTATATAAAATATTATAAACTTCTGCTAGAGCAGCTTTAAGTGTCTTCTTTCATTGAAAAAAAAAAAAAGAAAAAGAAATTTACAGGCAGACAGCTTGTTGTGAATGCAAAAACATAGCTAAATACCATTTAATCTCAAAACTGTTGAAAATATATCATTTCCTGGGTAAGTCACATAGATTTTAAAAAGATGCCACTTCGTCACATTTAGATTTATTTTTAATTCTGAAATAATTTATTCTCCAGTGGGACAAGGGGCTGAATCTTATGCCTCTGTTCATGTAGCTAATCAAGGTGTACTCTTCAAGGAAAAATCTGCACTCGACTCCTTTGGAATTTTAACAAAATTCTGACACTTGGCACATTGTACAGTCTAAGGTGTTCATTTGATAGGAAATTACTTTTATAAGTTTCCATGAAGGCATACATTGAATTCATTTACGGATGTCTTTTTTCAACTTCAGTGCATGTCAGTTACTATTTAAAGGGAGGCCATTTGACTGCACAATAAATAAAATCACGTGTTATCCAAGAATTTACAGCCCAATCGAAATAAGGCATTTTTAGCAAATCTCCCACTGTTGCATTTTCACATATATACAGGGAACCATGTCTATAGGGCTCTTTGTACATATTTATAGAGTCTGTATCCTCTTCTTTTAAGTTATATCTATCTATAGCTATATAAATATAAATACTTAAAAATTCAACCAGTTATTGAAGCTTTCCAATGAAACCAAAAAACTCTTTCCTTGAATTTTCCTAGAACTGCTATTGATTAGGGCATAAGTGTGTAATTAATCATATATTTGGTAGAACAATAAGAGTTTCTTTTACAGCATATTATTTGAAACATCATATTTGAAAAATTTTTACTTTAAGGGAATCTATGCCAATTCCTACATTTAAATAAGCCCTTAGCTTCAACATCTTGAATATTTTTTTTCCTGTAATGCTAGTTACAACACAATCAGATTTGCCTAAAGAAAAATGTACAATTCTATATATGAATGCATCTGGCAAAGCCCAAAAAAGGTATTTAAAAGCCAGAGTTCAGGGTAGATGATAGTTATTTTTAAATGTATAGGTACAATGGCTCTTCTTTCCTCTTTTTTACTAATTTTTCATATTTCACGTATGAAATTATATACTTAATGCATGTTCTATTCTCATTTTTTGGTCAAATATAAAATAAGACATTTTACATGTCACATCATAAACTCTTTAAGCAGATAAAAAGTGAGATATAAGCAATTCTGCAGGCTGGGTTTTAACTTCAGTAAACTTCTTGCTCTTTCTGTCTGACAAATTCTGTTTAGTTCACAAAGAAATCAATGCTTTTTCACATCGCTGATTTTATGAAGTTTGGGAATGTATTATCATATAGATTGACAGTTGCCCCACTGGTTCCACACCACAGCATGGACACTTACGAAGCCATCATTAATTTCTCACACTTGTACCCAGCAATGGCTTCCTCCGTAATAAACACTGTGTCCTTCAGAAACAAATCAATAACCTTTTAGGTATGCCTCTCTTGAAGAGGAAGTCACAAGAATCCATACTTTGAAGAAGCCCTCAACACAGGCTTAGGTTTTAAGGATACATGGTCATAAAGGGATTCTGTGTTTATTTGTTTGGCAGATCGTGATATCTTTCACAGTGTTCATTTAAAAGCTCCCTTAAAAAACTATCCTTGTTGTCTGGGGTTGTGGCTCAGTGGTAAAGTGCTCACCTAGCACATGTGAGGCAGTGGGTTTGATTCTTGGCACCACTTAATAATAAAATAAAGGTTATTGTGTCCACCTACAACTGAAACAAATATTTTAAAAAAAAGCTCTGATTGTGACTTTGCCAAGCATATTCATCAAATGAAGACAGAACTCAGAAACAAACTATTTTTCCTAGAATGCAAAATATTTATTCATTCTTCCAAATCATGTAAGAAAATCCCTGACCTTGCTGGTAGTTTTTTTTTTTTTTTTTCCCAAGATGAATGTTAATTGGGCTTCCTATGTGCTGCTGTAACAAAAATGACCTTCTAGGTAACTTGACAGTCCTGTCACAGTGCATACAAACATGACTTATTTACTTATTTGTTTTTGTAGTATAGATGCTGCAATGTTAATCACCACTCATAGCTCTGCATCTTAACCTCTGTATCTTAACCTGTACCTGGGAAATTAGCGTTGTGCTGGCTTGAGTTGGGTTGCTTTAAATAGATAAAATTCTCATAACTCTATCTTGAAGCTAACGATGGCTTGGCTAGAAATGAAAATGAGAGTTAAGAACAGCTAGGCCAAGATTTTGCTCTGTAAAATTCAACTGCATCTGTACAGAGGGCTTTTCCAGGACTTTAAATTAGAATCATGTGCTTTTTTTTTTTTTTTCCAATAATAAACATTCCATTTAAACTATGTTCTCTTGGAGGCCCTTTGTATCAGCTGACTGAGAAAATGGGGCAGTCACTAATTCACAAGAATAACTAATTGCCTCCTTTAAGATGCAAAAGAGCACACTGTAAAACTCTAGTGTGCATATTCTTGACTCCCTTAGGCAATACCTTCACCTTGGGGACTTAAAAATATCTTTGAGATTTTAATTTTTTTTAATTTTCAGCATAACCCTAGTTTCAGTTATTTTCTCGAAACTGTAGAAAGATAAAAGGACAAAGAAAATAAGCTTGGCCATTGGGATTACAGAAGTTACAGAAAACTCAATCTGGCAGTGGTTAAAGCCTTAAGAAATGTATTCTTCCCCTGTCCTCTCTGTTTCCACCCAAAGTAAATAAGAGCAATATTCATTTTCCTCTACTGTCAGTTGGGAAATTTATAATTCGCATAATGCATTTTGAGGTTGAAAATATAAATGTTGGGTTAATTCCATTGCATTTCCCAAAATGCACTTATGGCACAATCTGGCTGTCAGCACATAATGGATTTGTGTAAAGTGTGTTCGTGGAACACAGGTTCTATTAGATTGTGAGTCTTCTTGGTGGAGTGCTGTACTGTGTTGGTGTCCGTGGTGCTTCAGCACACACAGGTGCTTTGTTCTGCCAACCAAGGTACGTTCATTTTTGCAATAGAAGTTGAGTTTCTTAAGTCTCCCTCCTTTCTCTTCCAAAAGATCCTCAGTAATTCAGCATTCAAGTAGCCCTTAATGAATGTATACCACACCTGATGGTGGGTGTCTGTTTCCACCCCATGCTGTTATTCTTGTATCCATGTAAATCTGGTTTGTGCTTCATAATGCACTGCTTTCTTCTCCTCTGTCTCACATTTAAAAATGACAGAAATTGCCTAGAACAGACCCGAAACCATGCTTTTAGCTGCGAACAGAGTCAAAGACTCTGAATTTTGCTCTTAAAAAAAATCAACCGGGCACAGTGGTACCCGCCTATAATCCCAGAGGTTCCAGAGACTGATGGAAAAGGATCGCCAGTTGAAAACCAGCCTCAGCAACTTAGTGAGGTTCTGTCTCCAAATAAAATAATAAAGAAATAAAAAGGGTTAGGGATGTGGCTCAGTGGTTAAGTACTCCAATCCCTAGAACCAAAATAAAAGGAAAAAAAGAAAAAGAAAAATGAGAAGTTAGGAGGAGTAAGAATAAGTAAAAGAAGTAGCCACAAAATGCATGAATTAATATATGACTATACTATTCAGGTTGATATAGGATAATTTTCCAGTCAAGTATCATGGGAAATAATTTTCATGTAACTGAAAGAAAATATTATTTCAATTCCTTAAAAATAAAACAAAATGGGGGAAAAAAACCCAATAAAATAGAACAAATTTTCAAGGCATTTTGGCAACAATTATTTCACATTGTGTTTTTAAGCCATTTTTGTAAATCTACTTGCATATCTGAAAGAGAAACACAAATAAGAGTGTGAAGTGTGTTACATGGATTGAAAAAAATTAAGGACATGGAACAAAACATCACAGGTCCTCATTCTTGTCTGTTCCTGAACAAAAGGATGTTCTTATTTTAATGAGTGCTTTGGTTCCCTAAAAATCCAGGTAGTAGAGACTATGGAGGAAGCTTGTTTTAGAATTTTATTAATGGGAGTCTGAAATATAGAATTAT